TGTGTGTGTGTGTGTGGCTGCATTTTAGACGTTGCTTCCTAATTATACTTGTTTTAAAATATCTAACAGGTGCTGTAAGCCTTTTATGCAATTAATAAGACTCTTATTTTCTAATCCTGTCGAGAGTGTAGCAGACACTACACGGATATAAAAACAGTTTTATTCTAATATTATCATGATTGATATAAGTTACATTTCAGTTTAGTAAAGTCGCAAGCATGTGTATAGTAACAATGATATAGTTTACAGAATTTAGTGTATATATAGTTCTTAAAATGAAGTTATCCTTTTACTTGCATTATCTTGAAAATCCCAAATTATTCACAATTAACCTCAGGTCAGTGGGTACTGTACTGTGGATGCAATAAAAAGTACATTTTGAGCTGGATGTTACATAACAAACGTACAGTATGACACAAGTATCACGTTTCAGTTAAATAAGCCAGAGAATGAAATAAACAAGTGATCAGAGACATAAATAAGCTATGTGTTTTATGCACAGTTTAAATGCACAGGAAAAAAAATCTTTCAGGCTTTAAAGTATGAAAATCTTCAGTCTTAGTAAATGTGAAAGTTCACTACATCTGCAACTAAAGACTGATTGAATATTTGATTATTAATTTCTTTTTTTTAATGTTTAAAGATCCCCTCAAATCAGAAATGTGTTTTTCTTATGTCTGCTACAAAGTCTGACCTTAACTTTAATGACTGTGCAAAGTTTGTCACTAGAGAACATCCACATATGATTATAAGGCTGTGTTTTAAAAAATATCCACTAAAAACGGCTGGGCTGTAAGCCACTTTTAGCAAACAATTAAATAAGGGACTCTAGTATTATCATCAACCCTGTGCGGAGAGTGTAGCAAGACACTACAACCGGATATTAAAAACACTTTATTTACATACCACCAAACTCCAATCTATCATGGATTGATTATAAGTTATCATTTCAAGTTTAGTAAAGTCGACAAACGCAAATATGATATAGCTAGCAACCACATGTTATAGATTTTTCGAACCTTTAAGTTGAATCCTACACACTATATAGTTCTATCAAAAAACCATGAAACGTCTATCCTTATTACTTAGCCCCATGTAATCTCTGACAATCCCACAATTAACTACAATATAACCTCAGGGTCAGGGTAGAGAGTACTGTGACTGTTGGAATGCAAATAAAAACGGTACATTTTGACGCCTGCGGGAAATGATTAACACAATAACAACTACGTACGTATGACACAAGTATCACGTTCAGTTTAAAATAAAGCAGGAGAAATGAAACAAATAAAAAAAAACTGCAAACTCCAGAGACATAAAAATAAGGCTATGTGTCTTTATTCCACATGTTTAATCGCACAGACAAAAAAAATATCATTTCAAAAGGCTATAACAGTATGAAGAATCTCAGTCTTTTAGTAAATGTGAAAGTGTCACTTACATCTGCAACTAAAGACTGAGTTTGATTGATTTGATTAATTGTAATTTCTTTTTTTTTAATAGTTTAAAGATCCCGCCTCCAAATTCAGAAATGGGTGTTTTCTTGATGCTCTTTGGCCTACAAAGGGTCTGGGACCTAAACTTTTAATGACTGTTGCAAAGTTTGATCACTAGGAGGGGCATTTTTCGACTTCTCACTTATAAAAACACCGTAATCTTGCTAGCCTAATCGAAACACCCCATATAATCTGAGATTTCAAACGCTTACTCCGGCAAAGACATAGATTTCGGGAACTACTGCAACAA